GTTACTTCCGGAGGCTGGAGTAATGCCACGAAAATGCTCTCGCAAACCTTTTACGAACTCGGCTGGGTTCTGATCGGCCTCGTTCGGTCGGGGCGATAGAAATTCGCCAGGTAGGCGTAGTGTTTCGCCGTACACCAGCTCTGCCGCTGTGGATTTTAAATCTTCCCGCCAGGCTGCGCGTATGCCAAGCATGATGGTAGGAAGAACCTCCGTCCACCGAGCGTTCTGATGGCAGCGAATAGCTCCTTTCAGTTGCCGGTGGAATCGCTCCACCATCCCGTTCGCTGCTGGGTGATAGGCCGTTGTTCGTAAATGGGTGGTACCTGTTAACTGGTTCAAATGTTTGAAAAGGTTAGATTCGAACTGTCTACCTCGGTCGGTGGTAACGCGGAGGGGGGTCCCGAACCGCACGATCCATCCCTCATAAAACGCTCGTGCCACGGTTGCTGCCTCCTGATCTTTTAAAGGTATGGCCTCTGGCCAACGGGTGAAACGGTCGATGCAGGTAAGGCAATACCTGAATCCCTCTGATACGGGTAAAACTACGATGTCTATATGTATATGTTCGAATCTTCCTGAAGGTGAGGTGAATTTTCCGACGGGTGCTTGCACGTGCCGGGTGACTTTTGAACGTTGACAATCCACGCACCCGCGCGCCCATTTCCGGCAATCTGCTTTAATCGACGGCCAGACGTACCGTTCAGTTACGAGTTTGACCGTCGCGTTGATTCCCGGGTGTGAAAACCGGTGGATGGTGTCGAACGCGGCTCTTCGGAATGGCTTAGTGATGAATGGTCTTGTGGTGTTAGTGGAGGTGTCACAATAGATTGTCGTACGGGTTCCAGGTAGTGTCATTTTTTCTAAACGTAGAGCGCTTCCGGTGTTGTCACGCACGTACGTTTTCAGCTCTTCGTCCTTTCATTGGGATTTCGCGAGTTCTTCGAAATCTACCCGCTGCTCCATTTCTTCCACTCTGGATAATGCGTCGGCGACGACGTTATCCTTTCCCGGTATGTGTCTGATGTCGGTGGTAAATTGTCCTATGAAGTCCAGGTAGCGGAACTGCCTCGGCGTGCACTTTTCTGATTTCTGTTGGAAAGCGAATGTGATGGGTTTGTGATCTGTAAATACTGTAAATGTTCGTCCTTCTATCATATGCTTGAAATGTTTGATGGCCAGATATATTGCGAGTAATTCCCTATCGTAAGCTCCGTAATTCCTTTCCGTCGTTGAGATTTTTTTTGAAAAGAATGCCAACGGCTGCCAGTTGTCGTCGACGCGTTGCTGGAGGACGGCGCCCACGGTGAAATCGGAAGCGTCGCAGGTAATGGACAGCGCCGCGTTCATTTTCGGGTGCGATAATAGCGCGGCCTGCGCCAGGCCTCGCTTCGACTCTTCGAACGCTGCGGAGGCTTGGGGTGTCCAGTTTATGGGCGCGCGCCCTTTTATGTTGTCCTGGAGTAGGCTATTGAGAGGCGCTTGCACCTGCGCGGCTTTAGGTATGAACCGTCTATAAAAATTTAGCATACCTAAAAATTGCCTCAGTTGCTTTGCAGTGGTGGGTTGCGGGTAATTGGTTATGGCCTGCACTTTGTCTTCTAGTGGTCGGGTGCCTTCCTTAGCTACTGTGTATCCCAGAAACTTGACCTGTGGCTGTCCGAACACGCATTTTGCCGGGTTGACCACGACGCCGTACTGCTTGAGCCTGTTGAACACAGCTTCCAGGTGACCGACATGCTCCTCTTCTGATGCTGATGCAACTAAAATATCGTCGATGTAGGCGTAACAAAAGTCTAGCTCGCGTAACACCTCGTCGATAAACCGTTGAAATGTCTGTGCCGCGTTGCGTAGCCCGAAAGACATAAATGGAAATTCGAACAATCCGAAGGGCGTCGTGATGGCCGTCTTGCAGATGTGTTCGATGGCGACCGGAATTTGGTTGTAGGCTCGTACCAGGTCTATCGTTGAGAACACCTGTTTCCCTTGCAACGACTGCGCGAAATCCTCGATGTGTTTGACTGGATACCTGTCGGGGAGTGTTCTCGCGTTGAGTGCGCGGTAGTTCCCGCACGGCCTCCATTCGTCCAATCCTTTTTTCGGGACCATGTGCAGAGGAGACTACCAGCTACTCTCCGATGGCCTCGCTATTCCCTGCCGCATCATCGTCCCGAACTCTTTCGTTGCCGCTTTGAGTCGGTCCGGGGCAAGTCGGCGCGGTTTGCAAGTAACCGGCGGGCCCGTTGTCGTCCGTACGTAGTGCACCGTGGAGTGTTTGGTTTCGGTGGGCGTACCTTCTGGCCTGGTGATGTCCGGAAACTTCTGGAGCAGGTCGTGGAACATGGAGCCGCCGTATACGGTTTTGATACTTGGAATCGTTTGGCGACTTCTGTTTGCTGGGAGTCCCGGTACCGACAATGACGTGACCTGATCCATTAGTCTCTGGTTGCGGATGTCCACCAGTAACCCGAAATGGTATAAAAAATCGACCCCGATGATGGGTTTCGATACCTCGGCCACCACGAAACGCCAGGTAAACGCTCGGCGCAATCCCAAGTCGAGGGTCAGTGTCACCGTCCCGTACGTGGAAATCTCGGTCCCGTTCGCCGCGTAGAGGACGTATAGGGACTTTGCGCGGGGTCCACGAGTCATTGTTTTCGGGAAAACGCAGAGATCCGCGCCCGTGTCGTCCAAAAATTGCGTTTTCGACGCGAAATCCCTAACGAAGAGACGGCGTGTCGTCGGGTTAATGTCGTCCGCCGTCATTAATGACTACCCCGTTCGTTTCCCGCGTTGCTCCACGTGCACGGTTGCACGCACTTCTGGGCGTCGGCGTAGAACGCCCAATGATAACAGCACACCCCGCGTTTTCCGTGACGACGGTTCCGGGAATCGGATCGCGAACGTACTTGGCTGGGTGATCCAGGACGAAAATTTCCGTCGCGACGCGACGGCCGACGCTAGGAGATCAGTTCCTCCCGAATGGCGGAAATCTCTTGCCGCAATGACACCGCCAGCTGAACCATCTTACCATTCAGTAAGGCCTCGAAATCGTGGCCCGCCACGGGTGTCGTTTCGGCAATATGTACGCGGTGGGTCACCGTTTCGGCGACCGCGTCTGCGAGCTCCGCTACTTTATCCAGGTCAACGTCTTTCTGCGTCGCGAGTATTACCTGGATATTCGTAGGCAGTCGTCCCAACCATAACGTCCGCAATACGCAGTCCGTGACGGTTTTACCTGCCTTCGGAGGTGTCGTAGGAATTGCGCTGGCTTTCTGTCCCCCATCTCTTCGTGCTCGAGGAGGCGTCGCGTTCTCTGCTCTTGCGACGAGCTCAGCCGGCGTATCAGCTCCGTCTTCAGCTTCTGGTACGGCCCAGAGGCTGGTGGGTCCATAATGATGTCCCGTACCTCGGCGGCGTACTGCGGGTTTAGAGCACCCAATATGTAGCCGTACTTGGTGTCGTCGGACGTTATCCCCGATGCTTGGAAACTACGTTCCGCCATCGTGAACCACAGTTCCGGATCCGCCGGGCAAAATACGGGAACCCGGACGGCGACACGATTCACCGAGGATGCTCCCGGACCCGTTTCCATTCTCGCGGTACGACTGTTGTTTCGGAACACCAAAAAAAAATGTTTTTACCCGGAGTGCGCACTTGGTTAATGTCACTACACATCACGTTCAGATCACGTCGGGGTCACCAGAAAGTGAGGTGAATGAGGAACGTCGTTACCCTGTTTTCGCCTCAATTTATTAAAGTACAAAGTTATGGTCGTACGGGCGTGCAATTGGCCCGGGAAATATAATCGTTTATTATGTTACTCGTCCCGGCGGCAGCGGTTCGGCGGGTACGTCGCCATGGTCGGTAAAGGAGAAACTGTCCCGAGGTGTAGGCGTTCTCGGTTTTTATATTGTTAGGACAGGGAGACAGGAGTAGCGATACATAAAGGTAGAAGTGGAGAAAGAGGTGGAAACGGAAAATTCGTGGAAAGCGGGCCGTTCGTCCTCGGGCGAACCTGGATGCCACATGTGCGCTTCTTAGGCCACTCGAGGACGAAAGCAA